GAAGCCGAATATCATTCGATGGCTGCGACAAGCTATGAGCTGAAGTGGATGAAGAAACTTCTTTTGTCCTTTGGGGTGGCGCATGATGAACCTACGTGATTGTATTGTGACAATCAGGCAGTTTTGCACATAGCCACGAATCCAATGTTCCACGAGCGGACAAAGCATATTGAGGTCGACTGTCATTTTGTTCGCGATGAGCTACGGTGTGGGAACATTGTTACTTGCCATGTTCGAACCACAGAGAAGTTGGCTGATATCCTGACGAAGGCTCTGGGAAAAGAGAAATTTGCATAATTCCTTGGAAAATTGGCATTTGGAATATGCATGCGCCAATTTGAGGGGGAGTATTAGGAAACCGAATCTCCACATAACCTTCATATCGAATCTCTACGCAACCTTCGTTGGAAACCTTCTTGCATGCATGTGTAATTAGTATTCCTAGATGTATTTGGAAAATCGATTCCTACTGAAACTGAATCTCCTTCTTGTATAAACTCTTTTTGATGAATATCCTTCTTGCATAATAAAAACATAACAATTTCCACAAAATTTTTCACTTTATGGTGAATAAAGGCAAAAAAGATATAAACTCTTTTTGTCTCGTGGCAGTTCCATCAACTTCCAAGTTTAACTTCTCCACTTGGTTGCATGTAAATGAAGGAAGATGAATGTTTTGTTTGTTATTATATTGCATGTAGACGATGGCCGTAGAAAACTGTAACTTGTTTAGAAAAAGATGAGTTCTAATTGTAGGAAAATGACATTCCTTCTCTCATCTTTGTTGCCTCTCTTGATTCATACAAAACACGCACATGGTTATCAACTTTTGTATCCAGAGTTGTTTTCCAACATAAGAAAAAACAGCAAGAACAAGAAAAATTAGAAAACTATTGTCTTCATTTGGGTCGGGTGCAACCAAACACAGCCCAGGTCAATTCAAACCAATTAAACTCTGATTTGGCCCACCATGATACTTGAAAGAAAGGAGTTAGCAGAAGACGGTTTAATTTTATTGATGCCAAGAAGGCAAGAAGATACCTTGTCTCCTTTGATCTCAGTCTCACAATGACCCTCTCTTTTGTATTCTTCCCAGATTCATGAGATCACCCAATAAAACATAGACTCGCTGGCAATCCATCCAAAAAAGTGTTTTGAAACTGGATGCCTTAAATTGGCCACGTGGACAACTTTTTTTATTACTATACTCTGTATGTCCAATCATGTGGAGGACTCTTATAGTGTGAAGTATTTCTTTTAAATAGAAAGAAGAAATATCATCATCCTCTGTGATTTATCTTTGGGCTCTTTTATTAGCCATATAACCAAAGCTACCATGCTGAAAAAAAAAATTGTCACCCATGTAATGGGGTAGGTGACAAGCTTGATTTGAGGTATTGCCATTTTAGCTGGGACCCAACTAAATGTAGTAAAGTAATATTTACCTGCAGCCATGACCATTTCAACTGTGTATATGATAAAACTGTTTTTGTTTGATCTGTCTCTGGTATAAAACCTTCTGTATTAAATTATTTGTTTTTTTTTTTTTGAAAATGGTTCCCGAGCAATTAGCTTTTTGAACTTTGTCATCATGGTTCTTAGTCAAAGGAAAATGCTGTGTGAAAGATGTAAGAAACAGTGCTGCCGTTCCATAAACATGCTACCCTCCAAAGCTGTGAAAAGAAGAATACTTTATTCTCATTTCTCAACCACCGCACCACACTATACGCGCACACTGATTGATTTCTAAGAGAACAACTTCCATTTCTTAAATGTGATTTGAAATATTATTAGAAACTAGCTTTTGTCGCTCTTCTTGCTATGTTTCAATTACCACTAGCTTTTGTCCACCTCAGTTTTCATTTTTCAAGCATATCCAGATGTCCTTTTTTTTCCAGATACCCCCTCCATCTTAACTGAAAACCTTTACAACCATTAATGCCTCGCCTTTTCTGTACATCTATATTAATATAGCATTCCTTTGTTTTGTCCTTTCAGAGATCTCATCATCTCATTTGAGGGTCAAAAATTGCATCAAGAGTTGTTTATTAGCATTCCTTCCATCTTCATCAAGTATACATAATAATATAAATGAGCTAGTATATATGCATAACATGTGTATTGCCTGATTCCTGAAAGGTGCTCGATCTAGGCCTGGGCTTCCAAACGGGTTCAACTTCAGCCCAACGGAAGTTGGAGTCGAGGCTAAGTTTCCAGGCCAAGGTCCAACGAAAGGCCTACAATCCCAAGTCCAACTGTGCAAAAGCTTGGATCCGATCGAACTGTGCGCAGGTTGAGCTGCCTGAGTTGCAGCTCCATCATTTCAATAGGTCACACTCAACTCTTCAGCACTCAACAAGTCAGCAGCAGAACCATGCTTCTTATTTCAGAGTCGTCCATGTCTTTCTTGAAAAAATAAAGAATTCCATCATTCATGCAGAGCAAGTAGGGACCATCTATTGACAACCAAAAAATAAAATGGGGACCCTCAAGAACATATAACTTTTTAGGATGATCAAACAAACAATTTCATTAAGGAAGACAATATGATGCATTAGATTTCAAAAAAAAAAAAGAGTTATAAGAAGGAGGTGCAGCAGATACAAAACAAACGGAATCAAATTGAACCCCTTTAATTTTCTGAGCAATTCTTGAGCCGTCTCTACTACCCTCCCTGACTGTAAAGCCAAACTTAACTTGCCTAAACAATTTATATTTACTCTTAATTATCATACAAAAAAACTAATAACATTGTCAATGTATTTTAATAAGAATATATAGGTTTTCATTTTAATTGTAATAAGGGTGATGATGATGATGATAGGATAAGGCTTATGACAATGATGAAATCCGCAATCAAGGGTACTTATCTTGAGCAAAACAATGGCTTTTAGGTTGAGCACTGAACCTTAGATTCACATATGAAGAAGATCAAAAGCCATAATGGAATGAATGCGAAATCCAAATTCAACCTAGCGGTAACTATAGATGAATGGTTTAGTATAATCAGTTGGACAGTGGAAAAACACTCTATTACCGATCAATACTCATTGCAAATCAGGTGGTCAAAGATTGTTCAGTCATGCTGTTTTTTGGTAATAAAGAATATCTTAGGTTGGGTGGATCCTGAACCTCTGCCCATGGTTTAAGAATCGAGTTTCATAATCAGTTAAGAGTATTGGAAGTTTTGTGAAAAAATTGCAGCTCATACATGGAATGCGTTGTCATCTTGTAAACAGCAAGTAGGTTTGCTTATTGGGGTGATGAGGAAGGGAGTCCCCTAATTAATTTGGGGGTTATAACTTATAAAATGAGAAAAAGAAGGGATCTATTGCAAGTTGAAAGGAGTTAGGAGGACTTAGGACAGACCAAAAAAGGACATGGATATAGCAAGGATAAGAAATTATTTAGGTATTCAATTTATCAAAGGATATAGCACTAGTAGTCAAACAGGATTCATGTAGACGTCGCATACAGTTGGGACACGGCTCAGACCTCAGATGATAATGAATGAAGCAAGACTGAAATAAATAACGTTACTTCCACCACGACAAGGGGCCCATATGGGATTGGGACTTGGGAGGGCTTTCACATAGCGGCTTCTCGTGTTTCAAAATGAGTTCTACGTGGAAAAGACAGCAGGTATATTTTTGGTACAAATTCGGAACGCAGAGATGAAATGCCATTGTTGACTGAATTTACTCCAAATGGTATATCTGGAACATGCACACTCAACCATCGCCGCATGCATCGATGTAGCACGCAGAAGCCCTCTCAAACGGGCTCAAGGTGACCGAGTCTCACATAGTCACATAGTGCATACCAGTGCACACTGCACAGCAAGACCAGAATTTTGGACAAATAGTTGTAAGCTTCTGCGCAGTTGTGTACAGCAGCAACAACCTCGTAGTCGTAGCGCTCAATCGCTCATCCACCAATTTAGGGGTGTCAATTGGATTGGATTTGGTCCAATGTGACTCCATTACAAATGGACCTGATCCAATCCAGTTCAATGAATATTTTGGACCAGTCCAAAGACTGTCCAATCTGTTCAATTTTTTGTTAATTTAGATTGATTTCAACTCAAACCTGGTCCATTGATACCTATGTTCTTATTTTCTATTAATGGACCATATATTGACTCAATCTAATATAAATTTATTATGGATGAACCAGGTCCAATCCAATATATCATATTGGTCCGTTCAGTCCGTCCAGATTCAATGTGGTCCATCCAAATAGATTTTGATCTGGACCGGTCCATTGACACCCCTATCCACCATCACCAATACAAATAAAATCTGAGGGGGCCCTTTGTAATTGTACTTGTAGGAGAGGAGTAGGACCCTCCCCTGTTTATTTATTTGTTTAAAGGAGGTATGAGAACTGCAGATGTATTTACGAGTTGTGTCCGCTGTCCATACAGGGAGTGAGTTGCCTATTATCTGATTTTAATTAAATTTAACCGAGCTTGTGCCACCAAAGAATCAGCTTTTCACGAGGACAAAAGTCATTGGATGAAGGTTGAGTTTAAGCTTGTAAATAGGAAAAAGGATAAAAAGAATAGCGATTATGTCTGCCTTACTAATACGAAGTAAAGACCCAATCAAGGTCAAGGAAGATAAGAATTGATTCAATTTATGAATGCAATGTTCTGATTTCTTAAATTTTCAGATTTGAAATTACGCTTAAGCATGGAACCAGATTTAATAAAATAGTACCCTAGAAATCGTTCGATTAACAACCCGTCTTTTTTCCATATATATATATATATATATTCTTTTGGTACAACAAAGTAAATCCTTAAGAACCCAAAACATGGATTCAATTTCGTGGAACGGAATGTAAGCATTTGAGATTTGTAATTCGTGAAATACGTATGAATGTAAAACATAGTAAAATACCAACTCCCCATGTGCTTCTTTTCCCCAAGTCTGTTACCCTGCCAAGAGGTCCCAGGTAACAGGTACAGTCGTACAGAGAATTCTGAAAGAGCTCCGTAAAGAAAACATGTCTCTTACATTCCATGAAAATTGTGTTGTAAAATTTATCATAGATGGGAAGAGAAACTTCACATGTGAATGGAAGCCTTGAACAAGAAAGCAGCTTCTCAAAACCATAGGGAAGCCTCTCTTAAGAAAATTACAAATAAATGAGTTCAAAAAGTCTGCAACAACAATCTGTGTATATCCCAGCAAACAGGAAATACAGAGCATGTACAATCAATCTGGCATGGATTGTGGACCAGGAGAAGGGAATAAAATTTCCCAAAAAGATAAGAGATGGGAAGTGCAGAGATTAGAGAGAAAGAGAACCTAAATGAAGATTAACAATGGGAAAAATAAGAAAATAAACGGACAAAGAACTATGAGGAATGCTGGCTAGCTTTTCTCTGTCTTTAGTCTCTTGGAAGCTTGATCAGAGTCCTCACCACTGCTGGCAACCCTAGAATGCGTCATTGCTTGATTGCTAGAGGGGTCCTCCTGGTCCTTGGGCAATAAAAAATAAAAATTAAGATATGAATTTTAAAACATGAAATAACACAACAGATCACTCAGATTCCAGGAATACGAGAAACACTAGAAGGTGGGTGCATCACCACAGGCTAGCCCAGCTAAAAGACACGCTAAAAGAGAAGTTGAGTTGCTTCTTACTGGTCTCCACTTCAACTCTCTTCATTTGTCCTGAAGTGGCATTTCCAAATGCCAAAGCTCTAAGCTACCCAGGCCATTAATGAGAAATCAAGCCTGGTGAGATGACTTAAGCAACTAATATGGTAGGTCCAGTCTGGACTTTTTTTTTCTTTTTTTCGAAAAAGAGATCTATTCAATTGGTGCATACGCCCGCCTAATGAAGAAAGATCAATCATTGTCAAAGTCCAGCAATGCATGGAATGTCCCTTTTGTACACACAAATGGCAGAAATTCTTTTTTTACAATATATGATAAACCCAACTACACTACGATGTATAAGCTCAATGGTTAAGATCTGTAATTCTCTCCTTCCTTTATCGAACATGAAAGAAATATTGCACAAAAATGAAAAGAAACAAATGGCCAAGATACCAAACTATGGATACCTTTGCACTGGATGTGGTAGCTGCCAGTCTGCCAACTGTTCGTTTGCCAAGATCAATCTGCACTGACATGCTAGCTTGTGACAGATCTACACCACAACTCTGAAGTGCTTGTGTCAAATTATTCAACAACCTGCCACATATTACAGTCTAACATCAGCTTTAAAGCAAGTGGTGCAGCATAAATAAAGACTTTTCCAGGAGATTGTATGTAAAATAGACAGGTGCTATCAAGCCCGCTTCATGGTGTAAGGTCCCCTAAAACAACTTTGCAGTGAACGAAAAACTAATATAGATGAATTTTTGCAGGAGATAAAAAATATTGAAGAATTGCATATGCATGTGAGGCACAATTTCAGGAAATGGAATCTCCAAATTTGCAATTAAAATCAAGAATCAGCAGAACCACATGCATATGAAAACACACCCTTGTGAGTAGACACTTGATATGTTGATTGTCCCCCCTTCAATAGTCATATCATCTTGTTCATTTAGTATATCACTTGTTACAGGGAACTCAGTTGTGCATACTCTGCCTTGCCACAACTGGGATTGAGGGTGTGAAGCTACATTGTCTGCATCTGAAAGCGGTCTCTGTGGAGGTTGGGAAAGCCCACCACCTCTTACTACAGGAGTGAACATGTTTGCTTGCAAAGGAATGGGCAGGGGCACTGCCTTGTCAGCATCTAGTGGATTCTGCGAATTTGCTAGCATGGGTGGGGAGACACTGACAGCAATGTTGTTGTCATCGAACTTCCCAGTAAACACTATCCCTGGACCAGGTCCATTCTTTAGGGCTTGAGAGTGATCAATTACACTTTCACCAGGCCTGCGGATATTTCTCTGTTCAAAAAGGAAAAAGAAAACTTTAAATTAAGGTTTGGGAAGAGTGCAAATGCCAGTTCAGTAAATAAATGCACTCTGGTTCAGTTTTGCAGGTGTTTGGTAAGAGTGTATTTGTGTATTGATAATGACAGAACGCAAATTCCATTACATGTTTACATTCAAATGGAAGCAAACTTTTGCACTCAAGTTGTTCAATGTAAGAAAGGTGGATTCTAGTCTCGGGGATTCATGTTTGTACCGATTACAACTGAAAATCATTTGGCAAGAATACAAAATCATCAGTACAAAGCTAAACCAAATTTGCATTTGTCTGAACCAGACATATTTGTATTTGTACTCTTCCCAAATGCAGCCTAGAAAACAAGCATAATAAAAATGTGAGCAAGTTATTAAGTATTTACCCATGGTACCAACTTTGTTGGCTCCTGGTTCCATCCAGGAAACGCTGCGTCGTACTTCTGTACCTTTTCCTGTAAAAACTGAATGTACTCGATGACCTGCATAGGGGATAAGATAACTTATTAACCATTGAACAATTCAAATTGTTTTCCATCGAATCAAATATAATATCATATATATCTCCAAATTACAATATATACCTCTAATAGGAAAGATGCCTTATCTCTCTTTTGATCACTATGAGGTATAAGATCTCTCAATATCTGAAATCTGTTAAACAAATTAAATTTCATCAGGTTGACTGAAAACAAAAGAGCCAGGAAGCATCTTAGTATTTAATAACACATCAAACATGTCAAAGTCTTAACTCATATCTTTACAACTAGAGATGCTTATGAAAAAGAAGCATACTTGTTAAACAATAATTCCAACATATGAAACTATCTAATTTCTGGATTCATGCTGCCCATTAAAAAGGGCCTCATCTATGGAATAAGCATTCAACTGACAATAGCAAGCAGCATCAAAAGTATCTGTTCATACTAGTTTTTGGACTCTGGCTTGGATTCAAAATATATGGCAGTGGTCTTACAATGAATGAACTACAAATAAAGCTAGTTGCAGATCAGAAATATTGCCAACTCCACTTTCACCCTTATATTCAGCAATCACCAATATCTCCTCTTAATTCAACAACCCAAATTACAATGAGACATGAAAATCCTCAGCCTGTTACTTCACTAATTGGATTAAGGTTTGCATAACAAGGCATGGAATGATGGAAAAGCTACAGAAAATCCACTTAAGTCTATAATTAAAAGGCCATGAAGCACTTGAAGGGATAGATACTTTAAATGTCTTGACCAGGCTTAACAAACAGAGATTGAGTGAGGTTTGCGCTAAATCAATAAGAACAAACATATCCCACAAGCTTAGGTCAGAATGAACCATGAAAAGTGGCAGATAATATGTGGAGTCAGAGAGCAGGGAGCAACCGAGAAACTCATGGCAGCTTGGTCATTACCTAAATGAGTTGAGTGATATTCTAGCTGGGTCATGTGCATCTATTCAATTCCTAGAGGGCAAAACGATACTACTGATGGGCCTAAAATCTCTGGGACAGGAAGGGTGTCTGTCTTTGGACAAAAACAGATGTGTGCCTAAATAGTTCTCTGAATGGATTGAACAGCTTCTTTTTATCTCTTATGCATCATTGTACACCCTCTCATGTAAACGGATTTTTTCATATATAATATAGATGCAGTTACATTTTGTCCCAGAAAATACATCATTTCGCCAATACATTTATATAACTGACTAATGATAAGACGCTAATGTAAGAACAATCTGGTGGTACATGGTAACCATTACAAATTGAAGTATATACAAACAAATGGAAAATCTAATAATTTAATGAAGTAGGACTGATTTTGGAAGACCTTGCTGTATGTGCACACAACAAGTTACGGACTTGACTGACATGTCAATTTTTGTTTTGAATCAAAGCACTAGAATAGTTTTTTTCGTTCTTTTGTTTTTTTTTTTTTTGGGGGGGGGGGG